CTGTCCCCTTAGCAGAAAAACACCCCCAAAGCATAATGTTTCCACCTCCATGTTTGACGGTGGGGATGGTGTTTTTGGGGTCATAGGCAGCATTCCTCCTCCAAACACGGCAAGTTGAGTTGATGCCAAAGAGCTCCATTTTGGTCTCATCTGACCACAACACTTTCACACAGTTGTCCTCTGAATCATTCAGATGTTCATTGCCAAACTTCAGACGGGCATGTATATGTGCTTTCTTGAGCAGGGGGACCTTGCGGGCGCTGCAGGATTTCAGTCCTTCACGGCGTAGTGTGTTACCAATTGTTTTCTTGGTGACTATGTTCCCAGCTGCCTTGAGATCATTGACAAGATCCTCCCGTGTAGTTCTGGGCTGATTCCTGACCGTTCTCATGATCATTGCAACTCCACGAGGTGAGATCTTGCATGGAGCCCCAGGCCGAGGGAAATTGACAGTTCTTTTGTTTCTTCCATTTGCGAATAATCGCACCAACTGTTATCACCTTCTCACCAAGCTGCTTGGCAATGGTCTTGTAGCCCATTCCAGCCTTGTGTAGGTCTACAATCTTGTCCCTGACATCCTTGGAGAGCTCTTTGGTCTTGGCCATGGTGGAGAGTTTGGAATCTGATTGATTGATTGCTTCTGTGGACAGGTGTCTTTTATATAGGTAACAAGCTGAGATTAGGAGCACTCCCTTTAAGAGTGTGCTCCTAATCTCAGCTCGTTACCTGTATAAAAGACACCTGGGAGCCAGAAATATTTCTGATTGAGAGGGGGTCAAATACTTATTTCCCTCATTAAAGTGCAAATCATTCTATAACATTTTTGACATGCGTTTTTCTAGATTTAGTTGTTGTTATTCTGTCTCTCACTGTTCAAATAAACCTACCGTTAAAATTATAGATTGATCATTTCTTTGTCAGTGGGCAAACGTACAAAATCAGCAGGGGATCAAATACTTTTTCCCCTCACTGTAGTCAGCCAGTTCAATAGCTGACTATAGTCAGTCGGGGATACGAATTAGTGACCGTGTCATTAAAGTCGTCACTGTATGCCGACGATAAATAAATGCGAAGACCTCTACATTGCGTGTCTGAAGTCGCTACGTCATACATGCATGCCCCATGTTTGGGGCAATGATGCAAAACAACAACAACTTTCGAATGTCGGTGTGGTTGTCAAGGACAAAGACGGCCAAACGTTCAGTTCCGTTTGACTGGTGGTCTGGACAAGGCTGACAGAGTGTGTGCACGCAATGTTTCCCACCCGTGTGTCGTTTTCGTGGGGAGCGGTGGTGCAGCGGTTAGCGTCCTGCGCTTTGAGCCCCGGCGAACCGGAGTTTGATTCCCGCTCACGGCCACCAACACCGGTGACGACTGTCTGAACCGGTCCTTGAGACCTCCCCTATGTCGACTCAGCCTCAAGAGAGTACCTGGTGCAGTGTGCAGTTAACTTCGCCGAGATGGAGACAAAGGCGGACGGAGCGTGGTGCTGGCTACCCACCCCCTCGTGTGCCGTGCCGGCTCTTATAGCCGCTATTCGCTTGCAGCACTTGCCCCCCAAAGTCTGCGTAGGCTATACAGGGGCTCTTTGTCTTTGAGCGAGGGAAGAGGAAGGGTGAGTGGGTCGATGGGCGAGCGGATGAGCGGGTGGGTGAATTGAGTGCGTGGCTGGGAGTACGTCGCTTCGACGTCCAACCCACGGGAAGGGAGTTTCACAGCCCATCCGTATGTGATCCACCAACGCTGGCTGATGCTGCTGACTCCAGACTCCGGGCAGCCACGTGCAGCGTAGCAGCTACCACCACCACCAACAAAAATTCCCCAGCGAGTAGCGGCTATAAGAGCCGACACGGAGCACGAGGGGGTGGGTGGCCAGCACCACGCCCGGCCGCCTTTGTCTCCCCAGTGGCGATGTTTACACACCGCACCAGGTACTCGTTTGAGGCTGAGTCGAGCTAGGGGAGGCCCAGGACCGGTTCAGATAATCATCACTGGTGTTGGTGGCCGTGAACAGGAATCGAACTCTGGTAGCCGCGATTGTAGCACAGCGCGCTAACCGCTGCACCACCGCTCCCCACTAAAACCGCTACTGCCACCACTGTCATCACCACCACCATCACCACCAGCACCGTCACCACAGTCACCACCACCACCATGATCGTCACCACCAACAACAACCGCCATTCGCCACTAAGTGTTGGTGACGTCACCACGAAGCTTGTGCCAGGCGATGTGCACGTTGAGGCCACGTGAAATTTCGAAGGCTCGCTGCTGACAGGTCACGGGGCAGACCCAGATGCCACAGGTCGACTGAGACGACTGGCTGATGCACCACCTGTGCCCCCTGCTGTGCCGACTTGCGTTGCTTTCGCCACCCGGCGCTCCGCTCGTTGTTGTGAGCGTCGCTCCTCCGCCCTCCGTTGTTGTTGGAGGGCGACTGCCTCCAACTGCCCAGTAGCGTCCCTCACGAGCCTCCTCCACAGAGGCCGATCTTGACACCGCTGGTACCAGTCATCGGCAAATCCACTCAGCTCCACATCCTCCTGTACCACTCCATCTCTTCTCTAGCCCGTGCCGAGCACGTTTATCCCCCTTGATCCGGCCGAACAAAAGATGTTTAGGCATGCGGTGGCTGGGCATGCGGGCTACATGGCCCAGTCAACGCAGCCTTGCCTGCCAGAGGAGCTCACCGATGGGACTTTGTTCAGATCTTTCAAGGATTTGTGAGCTCCTCACACAATCCAGCCTGGTTAAACCCAGGATGGATCGTAGGCAGGCTAGCCTAAACGTTTCTAACCGGCGAAGATGTTCCATTAGGGGGGTCCACGTTTCGCAAGCGTAGAGAAGGGAGGGAATGACCGTGGCCGAGAAGACCTGAAGCTTAGTGCGGAGCGACAGACTAGGTAGCTTCCACACAGCGTTACGCAACCGATGAAAATATATTGCCGCTCGACTGATTCGGAGACCTCTGCTGTTAAACTGGAGCCGGTCATGAGCACACTGCCCAGGTATGGGGAAACTCTCCACTCTCTCCACAACTGCCCCATCACCGATTGGGAGTTGTGGGGGTGGAGTGTCCAATGGTACAAAATACCCAGGCAGGTGCTTAGTTTTGGTGGGGTTGATGGTAAGGCCCCAACTCTTAGTGGCAAATTCCAGGTTCAGCAGCAGCTCCTCCAACTCCTCCTCTGAATGGGCAGCTATTACCAAATCATCGCCATACATAACGTGGTTGAGCAATAGGGAGCCATCCCTTGACCGCACCCGGGCATCGATCAGCCTCCCATTATATCTGTACCACCACCGTCATCGTCACCACCACCACCGTCACCACCACCACCGTCACCACCACCACCACCGTCACCACCACCATCGTCACCATCACCACCGTCACCACCACCACCACCACCGTCACCATCACCGACGCCACCACCACCACCGACGCCACCACGGCAACCGCTAACCCGGCTGTCGAGGTGAGAGAGCGGTGGTTTAGCCCCAGGACAGAGCGGATGGACAGAGCGGAGGGTCTCCTCTGCGTGGTGTGACGTCAGCCGTGGCGTGACGTCACCCGTGCCGGACTCACCCGAGACGGAGTTCTGTGATTGGTTGGGACGAGTTGGTTGGGATTTCCCCAGTTACGTCATACACACACACACGCACAAAGACACATATTGAGATCCCCCGCGTAGCCTCAACATGCTTTCGGGGCAAGTGCTGTGAGCCAGCACCGATGAAAGCCGGCACGGCACACGAGGGGGGTTAGGTAGCCAACACCACGTCCGGCCGCCTTTGTCTCTCCAGTGCTGACGTCTCCACATCACACCAGGCATCAGCACTCCCCCCCCGTCCGCTCCTCTTGCAGCACGGTTGGCTTACGTACGGTGCGAAAGAAGTTCAACATACATACACATGCAAAGCTCCGATGAGCACGGTTGGCTTAGGTACGGTGCAAAAGAAGTTCAACATGCGTGCAGGGTGTGTGTGTGTAGCGCCTCTAGCGGCTGCAGGCTGCCACTGCTGTGGGCAAAATCGCCACTGATTGTTGGCCGAGAGTGACCCAACGGACGCTGTTAGACTTCTCCTCATCCACCTCGTCCAGCTCCTCCTCGTCCACCTCCTCCTCATCCACCTCCTCCTCGTCCAGCTCATCGTCCACCTCCTCCTCGTACAACTCCTCGTCCACCTCCTCGTCCAGCTCCTCGTCCACCTCCTCATCCACCTCCTCCTCGTCCACCTCCTCCTCGTCCTCCTCGTCCCTCCGTGCGCGTCACAGCAACCAAACGATCGATGCAGCGGAAGAGGATGAGGTGGTGAGGAGGAGGTGAGGAGTATGAGGTGATGAGGAGGAGGTGGTTGGGAGGAGGACGAGGTGAGGAGGTGAGGATGAGGTGGTGTGGAGGTGAGGAGGAGGTGGTGAGGAGGTGGTGAGGATGAGGTGGTGAGCAGGAGGAGGTGGTTAGGAGGAGGTGGTGATGATGAGGTGGTGAGCAGGAGGAGGTGGTGATGATGATGAGGTGATGAGCAGGAGGAGGTGGTGATGATGATGAGGTGGTGAGGATGATGAGGTGGTTAGGAGGAGGTGGTAATGATGATGAGGTGGTGAGGATGATGAGGTGGTGAGGAGGAGGTGGAGGAGTTACTAGCATCTCGATGCTCCCCACGCCCTTCCTGGTCCGCCCCTTGCGCCGCGCATAAAAACCCCGCGTCACGACGCCTGCCGTTCACTTCACACCTCGGCAGCGCCAGCGGCTACATCAACATCAACAGCAGCAGCTACAGCTACAGCAGCAGCTACAGCAGCAGCTACAGCTACAACAGCAGCTACAGCAGCAGCTACAGCAGCAGCTACAGCAGCAGCAGCAACAACAACAGCAGCAGCTACAGCAGCAACAACAGCAGCGGCTACAGCAGCAGCTACAGCAGCAGCTCCAGCAACAACAACAACAGCAGCTACAGCTACAACAGTAGCAGCTACAGCACCAACAACACCAGCTACAACAACAGCAACAGCTGCAGCATCAACAACAACATCAACAGCAGCTACAACAACATCAACAGCAGCTACAGCAACAGCTACAGCAGTGGCTACAGGACGAGCAGCAGCAGAAGGAGCAGCAATGGCATCGCTCCCACCAGCTCCAGAAGTAAGACGCTAACCTGCAGATCTACTCACGTACCAACCCACGTACCTACTCACGTACCTACCCGCGTACCTACTCGCGTACCTACTCGCGTACCTACCCGCGTAACAACCCGCGTACCTACTCGCGTACCTACTCACGTACCCACTCACGTACAAACCCACGTACCCACTCACGTACCTACCCGCGTACCTACTCGCGTACCTACTCACGTACCTACTCACGTACCAACCCACGTACCCACTCACGTACCTACCCGCGTACCTACTCGCGTACCTACTCACGTACCCACTCACGTACCAACCCACGTACCCACTCACGTACCCACTCACGTACCTACTCACGTACCTACTCACGTACCTACTCACGTACCAACCCACGTACCCACTCACGTATCCCACCTTCGTACCCTCACTCTTACCCACCTGCGTAGCTACCTGCGTACCCACCTTCAAAACAATTCTAAAAGTCGAGACGGAAGTCCCCGTGAGTGGCTGTTCGAAGAATGTGCGGAGTCTACAAACATATGTCAGGGCCCCACCCCCCCCCCCAGGTCGACTCGGCCTCCGCTAGGGGAGACAAAGGCGGCCGGGCGTTGGTGCTGGCCACCCACCGGTTAGGCAGCGCGCTAGCCGCTACACCACTGCTCCCTGTAGACCAAAGACAAAGATCCCCCGTAGAGCCTTCACAGACTGTTGGGGCAAGTGCCGTCAGCGAGAGCCTAACGAAGGCCGGCACGGCACACGAGGGGGGTGGGGGGGGAGGGGGTGTGTGGGTGGCCAGCAACCACGCCCGGCCGCCTTTGTCTCCCCAGCGGCGATGTTTTACTGCACGCCGCACCAGGCCCCGTCGTTTGAGGCCGTTCCAGGTGAGAGACAGGGACCGGTTCCAGACGATCGTCACTGGGCGCTGGTGGCAGTGAAACGGGAATCGAACTCCGGGTCCGCCGTGTTCGTCGAGCGCAGGGGGCTAACCGCTGCGCCACCGCTCCCCCGTTTTGCCACGTGGTATTGGAAGTGCCTCTCGTTGGCTGCCACCCAGTGCTGCATCGTCCTCGGTGTAGTGACATAGAATCGGTCACGTAGCAGCGTAGCGCTGGCTGCTGGCAGGGAAGGGGACCTGCAGCTTGCAGCAGCCCCGGTGACAGACCAGAGAGGGATCTAGTTCCTGGAAGGGTCACGGAAGGGGCACATCGAGTAGGTTCCAGAAGGGGGGCGTGGCCAGGGGCGGAGCCAGGCCACGCTGGCGGTATAAGAGGAGGCCCCCGGGAGGGGACCTCGGGGCTGTCGTTTGGAGCGGGGTCCCCCGTCGTGCTCCTGCTGCTGCTGGAGTCGTCGCCGTCGTCTCCGTCTTCGCCATCTCGGCGTCGCCAGTCAGGAGGTCTACCGGCTGTGCTGGCTGGGAACCGTAGTCGCCAAGTGTTAACTGTCAGGCCGTGTTAATAAACAGAGTGCCTCCTGCTCTTAGTGTCTCCGAGTCGGTCACTGCAAGCGTAGCACAAGTAGCTACGCGTGCTACGGTCCCCGCACGTTCAAGTGGCCCCCGCGCTAAGCGCTTTCAAGCTTCGATTTAAAGCTTTTCGTGACTGCAGGGATTCGTCTTCCTGGTTCTTTCGGTAAAGTCACCACGTAGAATGGAAATAAAATAATACAAATAAAACATAAAATAAAATAAGATTCTCACGACGTTTCGGCCAGGAAGGCTACTTGTGTTGTGGCCGAAACGTCGTGAGAATTTTATTTTATTATGTTTTATTTTTATTATTTTATGTCCATTCTACGTGACTTTACCGAAAAAACCAAGAAGATGCTTTCAAGCTATCAAATCCTGCTCAGTGATTCTGTACTTGCTCTATTACTATAGTACTATACCGCCTTAAACTTTAATGACCGACCGGGTGTTTAAGGTTAGCGATTTGTCGTATTATCTGGCTGTATAGCAAATGAAAAAATACAATAACTTTACTGTGAAAGTAAAACATGTATGTGTTTTAATCTATCTTTTTTTAAAATATAGGGCCCCTTTTTAACATAATGCCACAGAACCCGCACGAGTTTAAACCAGGCACTGTAAATACCACCGCTATTGGCTGAATCCTCTGAGAAGTCTGCAAAGGCCAACGGGGGTGCGCTGGCTTTGCCGTAACGGGGTTAGGCCCACAGGATCCGTTGCTCGGGGCTTGTAGAGGACCATCACGCAACTCTGTTCAGCGTATCCATCGTCAACGTCGTCGTCATCCACTGCTGGATGGAGGCATACCCCGACCACATCCTCCTGTCAAAGGCATCGTGGATGTGAGAGAGAGGTAGAGCAGCAAGTATGACGAAGGGCACAGGCAGAGCGGTTGTTATGGCAACTGTCGCCATGGTAGTCGCTCGCTTGTCGCCGTGGAGATGGATAACGACCAGGGTGTCTTGCCACGCAATCCCCGTCAGCACTGCGTGCCAGCTACGATACCACATCCTGCCTGTGTGAACACCAGGTGTACCTACCTGCCTTGCCTGTGTGAACACCAGGTGTACCTACCTGCCTTGCCTGTGTGAACACCAGGTGTACATACCTGCCTTGCCTGTCAACCACTCACATCCTGTCTGTGTGAACACCAGGTGTACCTACCTGCCTTGCCTGTCAACCACTCACCTGACTTGCCTGTGAACCACTCACCTGACTTGCCCCGTCAGCCACTCGCCTGACTTGCCCCGTCAGCCACTCACCTGACTTGCCCCGTCAACTACTCACCTGCCTTGCCTGTGAACCACTCACCTGCCTTGCCTGTGAACTAATCACCTGACTTGCCTTGTCAACTACTCACCTGACTTGCCTGTGAACCACTCACCTGCCTTGCCTGTGAACTACTCACCTGACTTGCCCCGTCAACTACTCACCTGCCTTGCCTGTGAACCACTCACCTGCCTTGCCTGTCAACTACTCACCTGACTTGCCCCGTCAACCACTCACCTGCCTTGCCCCGTGAACTACTCACCTGACTTGCCCCGTCAACTACTCACCTGACTTGCCTGTGAACCACTCACCTGACTTGCCCCGTCAACCACTCACCTGCCTTGCCCCGTGAACTACTCACCTGACTTGCCCCGTCAACTACTCACCTGACTTGCCCTGTCAACTACTCACCTGACTTGCCTGTGAACTACTCACCTGACTTGTCCTGTCAACTACTCACCTGACTTGCCTGTGAACCACTCACCTGACTTGCCCCGTCAACTACTCACCTGACTTGCCCCGTCAACTACTCACCTAACTTGTCCTGTCAACTACTCACCTGACTTGCCCTGTCAACTACTCACCTGACTTGCCCCGTCAAATACTCACCTGACTTGCCCCGTCAACTACTCACCTGACTTGCCCCATCAACTACTCACCTGACTTGCCCTGTCAACTACTCACCTGACTTGCCCTGTCAACTACTCACCTGACTTGCCCTGTCAACTACTCACCTGACTTGCCCTGTCAACTACTCACCTGACTTGCCCCGTCAAATACTCACCTGACTTGCCCCGTCAACTACTCACCTGACTTGCCCCGTCAACTACTCACCTGACTTGCCCCGTCAACTACTCACCTGACTTGCCCTGTCAACTACTCACCTGACTTGCCCTGTCAAATACTCACCTGACTTGCCCCGTCAACTACTCACCTGACTTGCCCCGTCAACTACTCACCTGACTTGCCCTGTCAACTACTCACCTGACTTGTCTGTCAACCACTCACCTGACTTGCCCCGTCAACTACTCACGTGTTGTTACTCTCCCTGTTCAGCAGAGAGATGAGAGAGAGTGTGGAGTGTGATTTGAATGTTCGCGAGTTGCGTCAAATCAAGGCCGGCACAGCACACGAAGGGGTGGGTGACCAGCACCACCCCCGGCCGCCTTTGTCTCCCCAGTGGCGCTCTCGATTTAAACACCGCAACAAGTACTCGCTTTGAGGCTGAGTCGACCTAGGGGGAGGCAAATCGTCACCGGTGTTTGCGGGGAATCGGCACTGGGGTTCGAGACGGCTGATCGGTGGCGCAGTGCGCTAACCACGGCGCCACCGCTCCCTCCCGCACTCTTTGAGATCGTCCACCGCGACAGCGGCAGGGGCAGCACCGCCCCCTGCCGCTCAAACTTGGCAGCACCCTCCTGGAGTGTTGTGCCACACGCACCACGAGCTGAGCTCCTCCCATCATGAGCCGTGGTCGCTCCACTGCTGGATGAAGGCCTCCCCCACTCCACGCCCTCCGTCTCCCTCGGCTGCCGCTCCGTGCTGAGTCTCGACCATCGGCCACCGCCGTCCCCCCTCTGGCCGTGACGCCTCCTGCCCAAGCCCCACCACTCACTCCGCTTCACGGTCTGCACGATGCCTCCTCTACCCCGCGTGTGTGTCCTCTCGTCCGCGTGCTCCCCCCCCCCCTCTCGCTCTCTCGGTGGAACTCCCAGCGTGCGTCTCATCACCGTGCTTCTTCGCAGCCAAATTTGCGTCGTCCAGACCCTCCGTCCAGCAGCCGGGCACGGTCACGTGAGGCCACGACATTGGCGCCCCCTCGCAAAGCCAGCTGTAGGAACGTGCGAGGAATTGCCCATCTTTGTAATCTCATAATAATCGCGAAACGGACGACGCGATTGTCCTCGCAACGCCGCGTAGCGTCGCTGGCCGTGGCTGACCTCCTGACCTCCCGACCTCTCTCGTTGACTCCTCCCCCTCCCTCCCTCCCTCCCTCCAGGGCTTCCCCGCCACGGTGGTGGTGGAAGTCAAAGTTCAGAGGTCGGGCGGAGTTCACTCGTACACCGTAACAGAGGTGGCCTTCCTCAACCACCCCCGCGGCCTCATAAGGTAAGAGGAGTGGAGGTGGGGGGTTTGGGCTTTAGGGTAGAGGGGGGCTCAGGTGAGAGGGGGGGCAGGGGGCCACAGAGTGAGGGGGGTCGCGGTGCTGCCTGCCTGGGGCTACTTCTGCTCCGTACGTAGCCCACCGTGCTCATCGGTAGTGCGGGGGAAGGACGACACCACATGATGGTGATGATGATGCTGCTGATGATGCTGCTGATGATGCTGATGATCATGACGCGACTGATAATGTGCTGCTGATCATGCGTTGCTGCTGATGATCACGCTGCTGATGCTCCTGCTGCTGTGTGTTCCCCTAACACAGGAAGGGAGACCTCATCCTGGAGGTGAACGGGGTCCCCCTGCAGCACGTGACCCCCTCCGAGCTGGGACTCGCCGTGCGCTCCAGCACCATACTCACCATGGTAAGGACGTGGGGGGGAGGGGGCGAGCGAGGGGGAGTGGGGGGGAGTGGTGGGGAGGAGCGTGGGGGGGGAGACCTAGGCGGCAGGTGGCATCCCCAGTGGATGGTAGAGTGGATGGGTGGGTGGGTGGTGGGTGGATGGGTGGATGGGTGGGTGGGTGGATGAATGGGTGGGTGGGTTGGTGGATGAATATGGATGGATGAATGGGTGGGTGGGTCAATGGGTGGATGGATGAATGGGTGGGTGGATGGATGAATTGGTGGGTGGGTGGATGGATGAGTGGGTGAATGGGTGGATGGATGAATGGGTGAATGGGTGGGTGGGGTGGGCGGTAGATGAGTTGGTGGATGGATGAATTAATAAATAGATGGGTGGGCGAATAAATATTTGGGTGAATGTGTGGCGATGGTCGGCTTGTGGCAGTGGGGAGGGGGTGTGACTGGGGAAACGCATAGCAGGGGCGGTGTTGCTCGGGGTTCTGGTAAACACGTGCGCTCGGGAGGAATGTGACACAAGGAACCCCGTGGGTTAGCATGCGGGCCCGGGACGGAGGGGGGTGGCGCTTTGGGCAGCGAGGCGACAGCAGCAGCAGCAGCAAACAGGCAGTGCTCTTGCGAGCTATCGTGCTCCCCCAGCGTCAATGCTCCTGGTCCCGGCACCTCTCCTTTGCTTTCCTGGCCTGAAGAGAGCTTCTGGCTCGGCACGACGGGGAGGGAGGTGGAGGGGGCGTGGAGGGACGTGGTTTCGGGAAAATCCCGCCAGCGTCCTCATCAGCATGTGAATTGGTTGGTGCTTGAATAGAGACTTCCGGTGGAGGGGCGGGTGAGGGGGATCTAACAACAGCAGCGTGTTGTCTGTGCGTATGGCCTTAAAAGGCAATATCCGAATATACATTTATAGTGGAGGAATCCGATAAGCTATGAAGCTCTTTTTCACAGATGTTCAGCACATTCGCAGTTGTGCAGGAGTCAATGTCCCCTTCCGTGTGATGCGCTGAAAAAGGGCCATTGTACGAAACGTTGGCTAGCATGTATATTTATAATTTGAAAGCCGCGCACAACGTTGACGTGGTTGGCTGTGCTTGTGCACAGCTGTCAATGCTGCTGCTGCTGCAGCAGCAGCAGCGTCACCGCATGGCGTCATTGTTATGAGAGTTCCCGTCGCGTTATCAGCATCGCCACCACCACGATCACCATCATCATCATCATTGCCGTCATCATCGCCGTCATCATCATTGCCATCGCCATCATCATTGCCATCATCGCCATCATCATTGGCACCATCATTATTACCATCATCAGCACCATCATCATTACCATCAGCAGCACTATCATCACCACCACCAGTACCATCTCCATCTCGATACTGGGCTCCCGGGTGGGGTAGGGGTGGAATTTCCTTGTCCCTCCACCCCCCACTCCTGACCCATCACCCCTCCCCCCGTAGCAGCTTTAAGAGTTCGCCGAGAGAGTGCGTAGGCTGTCATATCCCACCTTTCTCCACTCCCTTCTCGCTTTCTCCGCCCTCTCTCTCTCACCAAACACTGCCATCACCTCTCCGCTCTCTCTCACCAAACACTGCCATCACCTCTCCGCTCTCTCGCAAACTCTCCTCACTCCCTGCCTTCGACTTGCTCACGCTGTCCCTCTCTCTCTCGCTCGCTCTCCCCCGTCTCCTCTGTCTACTCTCTGCCCTCTCTCCCCCTTCACTCTCTCACCTGCTCTCTCTTTCCTGCCCAATCTCACAACCCTCTCTCTCTCTCCATCTTCTCCTCCGCTATCTCTCCCCCCCTCTCTCTCTCTCTCGTATATTTACTCCCTATCCCTCCCTCCCCCTCTGTTTTACTCTCTCTTCTCTCGCTCATATCCCTTCTCTCTCTCTTTCCTCTCTCACCCTTTCCTCTCGTCCTCCCTCTCACCTCCCTCCCCATCTCTCATCGCCCTTCTCATTGCTCTCTCTCTCTCTCACTCTCCTCTCCGATTTTCAGGACATCCATCGCGAGGAGAGCGACCAGAGCCCGCGCAGCCCCAGACCCCGAAGCCCCCGTAGACCCCCGGTCTCCCAAGGAGGGGGTCCGCCCGTGGTCCCCTTCCCGGCCGTCGACCTGAGTCGCGGGGCAGTGATGCACTGCAGCGGCTGGGAGACCAAGTGCCTCCCCCTGCAGCTCGGCCTCACGGAGCGCCGGGAGGAGAAGGACGCCGCGATTGGGGATGACGCCCAGGTGAGCTGGCGGGGTGAGCGGGGGGGGGGGGGGGGGGTGGGTGGGGGGCTCACCGGGTGGGTGAGTGTGGTGTTTGGTGTTTGGTGGGGGGCAGGTATCCAAGATGAGCTCGCTTGGTGAGGGGCAGAGGTCCGTCGTAAGGGGTGACCGGCTGGGTGAGGTCGTGGGGTGAGCTGAAGATGTCACTGGGTGAGAGGGAGGGGTCGGGGTGGTGGGGGGAGGAATGTAATTTGCATAAAGTTCCCGTGTCGTGTGGCTGACAATGTCCTCGTATGTGGAAGACTCCAGAGCTTGGGTAATTGTTAATACCGCGCGTCTGCGGTTCATTCTCGTAGCGCCTCCCTGAGTTGTTCTCTCTCCGAGTTACGGTGGTGAGGATGTTAACGACCTCGCCTGGTATACAGGAGGTCGTGGGTTCAATCCCGACCCTGGCGCCTGCTGCTGCTGCTGCTGTATATTTGGAGTTTGCGTGTCTCTCTCTCTCTCCCCGTGGGCGTGTGGATTTCTTCTCCCGGGTGCTCCCGTTTTTTTTCCTCCACATTTAGAATGGATCTCTTAATTGCTATACATTTTCACGTCATTCGATAGGACACTTATTTGGGCTATCATTTGTGGCCAGGTCGCTCAGTGGGCCTTAGCTAAGGTCAAAACAAAAGTTTAGTTTAATAATTTAGTCATCCCTCCTCTCTTTGAGTCGTCCTCTCTCTCTTTGAGTCGTCCTTTCTCTTTCTTTGAGTCGTCCTTGCACTCTCTCTCTCTTTGAGTCGTCCTCTCTCTCTCTCTTTGAGTCGTCCTCTCTCTCTCTCTTTGAGTCGTCCTCTCTCTCTCTCTTTGAGTCGTCCTTACTCTCTCTCTTTGAGTCGTCCTCACTCTCTCTTTGAGTCGTCCTTACTCTCTCTCTCTCTTTGAGTCGTCCTCACTCTCTCTCTCTGAGTCGTCCTTACTCTCTCTCTTTGAGTCGTCCTTACTCTCTCTCTTTGAGTCGTCCTTTCTCTCTCTCTTTGAGTCGTCCTTTCTCTCTCTCTTTGAGTCGTCCTTTCTCTCTTTGAGTCATCCTTACTCTCTCTTTGAGTCGTCCTTACTCTCTCTCTTTGAGTCGTCCTTACTCTCTCTCTTTGAGTCGTCCTCACTCTCTCTCTCTTTGAGTCGTCCTTTCTCTTTCTTTGAGTCGTCCTCTCTCTCTCTCTTTGAGTCGTCCTCACTCTCTCTCTCTCTCTCTTTGAGTCGTCCTTACTCTCTCTCTCTCTTTGAGTCGTCCTTACTCTCTCTCTCTCTTTGAGTCGTCCTTACTCTCTCTCTCTTTGAGTCGTCCTTACTCTCTCTCTCTCTCTCTTTGAGTCGTCCTTACTCTCTCTCTCTCTCTTTGAGTCGTCCTTACTCTCTCTCTCTCTCTTTGAGTCGTCCTTACTCTCTCTCTCTCTCTCTTTGAGTCGTCCTTACTCTCTCTCTCTCTCTCTTTGAGTCGTCCTCACTCTCTCTCTCTCTCTCTTTGAGTCGTCCTTACTCTCTCTCTCTCTCTTTGAGTCGTCCTTACTCTCTCTCTCTCTTTGAGTCGTCCTTACTCTCTCTCTCTCTTTGAGTCGTCCTTACTCTCTCTCTCTCTTTGAGTCGTCCTTTCTCTCTCTCTCTCTCTTTGAGTCGTCCTTACTCTCTCTCTCTCTTTGGGTCGTCCTTACTCTCTCTCTCTCTTTGAGTCGTCCTTACTCTCTCTCTCTCTCTTTGAGTCGTCCTTACTCTCTCTCTCTCTCTTTGAGTCGTCCTTACTCTCTCTCTCTCTCTTTGAGTCGTCCTTACTCTCTCTCTCTCTCTTTGAGTCGTCCTTACTCTCTCTCTCTCTCTTTGAGTCGTCCTTACTCTCTCTCTCTCTCTTTGAGTCGTCCTTACTCTCTCTCTCTCTCTTTGAGTCGTCCTTACTCTCTCTCTCTCTCTTTGAGTCGTCCTTACTCTCTCTCTCTCTTTGAGTCGTCCTTACTCTCTCTCTCTCTTTGAGTCGTCCTTACTCTCTCTCTCTCTCTCTTTGAGTCGTCCTTACTCTCTCTCTCTTTCTCTTTGAGTCGTCCTTACTCTCTCTCTCTTTCTCTTTGAGTCGTCCTTGCTCTCTCTCTCTCTCTCTTTGAGTCGTCCATGCTCTCTCTCTCTCTCTTTGAGTCGTCCTTTCTCTCTCTCTCTATTTGAGTCGTCCTTTCTCTCTCTCTCTTTGAGTCGTCCTTTCTCTCTCTCTCTTTGAGTCGTCCTTACTCTCTCTCTCTCTTTGAGTCGTCCTTACTCTCACTTTGAGTCGTCCTTACTCTCTCTCTCTTTGAGTCGTCCTTACTCTCTCTTTGAGTCGTCCTCACTCTCTCTCTCTTTGAGTCGTCCTCACTCTCTCTCTCTCTCTCTTTGAGTCGTCCTCACTCTCTCTCTCTCTCTCTTTGAGTCGTCCTCACTCTCTCTCTCTCTCTCTTTGAGTCGTCCTCACTCTCTCTCTCTTTGAGTCGTCCTTACTCTCTCTCTTTGAGTCGTCCTTACTCTCTCTCTCTCTCTCTTTGAGTCGTCCTCACTCTCTCTCTCTTTGAGTCGTCCTTACTCTCTCTCTTTGAGTCGTCCTTACTCTCTCTCTCTCTCTATTTGAGTCGTCCTTTCTCTCTCTCTCTTTGAGTCGTCCTTACTCTCACTTTGAGTCGTCCTTACTCTCTCTCTCTTTGAGTCGTCCTTACTCTCTCTCTCTTTGAGTCGTCCTCACTCTCTCTCTCTCTCTCTTTGAGTCGTCCTCACTCTCTCTCTCTCTCTCTTTGAGTCGTCCTCACTCTCTCTCTCTCTCTCTTTGAGTCGTCCTCACTCTCTCTCTCTCTCTCTTTGAGTCGTCCTCACTCTCTCTCTCTCTCTCTTTGAGTCGTCCTCACTCTCTCTCTCTCTCTCTTTGAGTCGTCCTCACTCTCTCTCTCTCTCTCTTTGAGTCGTCCTCACTCTCTCTCTCTCTCTTTGAGTCGTCCTTACTCTCTCTCTCTCTTTGAGTCGTCCTTACTCTCTCTCTCTCTTTGAGTCGTCCTTACTCTCTCTCTCTCTCTCTTTGAGTCGTCCTTACTCTCTCTCTCTCTTTGAGTCGTCCTTTCTCTCTCTCTCTATTTGAGTCGTCCTTTCTCTCTCTCTTTGAGTCGTCCTTTCTCTCTCTCTCTTTGAGTCGTCCTTACTCTCTCTCTCTCTTTGAGTCGTCCTTACTCTCACTTTGAGTCGTCCTTACTCTCTCTCTCTTTGAGTCGTCCTTACTCTCTCTTTGAGTCGTCCTCACTCTCTCTCTCTCTTTGAGTCGTCCTCACTCTCTCTCTCTCTCTCTTTGAGTCGTCCTCACTCTCTCTCTCTCTCTCTTTGAGTCGTCCTCACTCTCTCTCTCTCTCTCTTTGAGTCGTCCTCACTCTCTCTCTCTCTCTCTCTTTGAGTCGTCCTTACTCTCTCTCTCTCTTTGAGTCGTCCTTACTCTCTCTCTCTCTCTTTGAGTCGTCCTTACTCTCTCTCTCTCTCTCTTTGAGTCGTCCTTACTCTCTCTCTCTCTCTCTCTCTTTGAGTCGTCCTTACTCTCTCTCTCTCTCTCTCTTTGAGTCGTCCTTTCTCTCTCTCTCTTTGAGTCGTCCTTTCTCTCTCTCTCTCTCCACAAGGAGCGGACAACCCCGCGGAACTGCCACCAGTCCGGAACCGTTTCCGACCCGCAACCGATTTTTCCACGGCTCCATCTCCCTCCTCCTCCTCCTCCTCCCGTCCCGTCCCGTCCCTCCCTCCCTCCCGCAGCCCAGCAACGGCAAGTGCGTGGAGCCGGGCCACGCCACGGTCGAGGGCTTGGACGAAGGCGACAGCGAGCGTGGCTGGGAGGAGGCGCTGGAGGAGGCGCTGGCGCGGCACGGCGAGGGCAGCCTGGCGCTCATCTTCCGGCGGCCAGACTTCATGGTGATGAAGATGCGCGGCCCTGAGGAGGTGTGCGGATCCTGCGGGAGGTTCGACTGCAGCACGGAGCACGTGCAGGCGCGCTCTACCGCGCTCAGCTTCGCCTCCAGTACGTGGCGGGGTGCGGGGGGGGGGGGGGAGGAGGGATGAGTGGAGATGCTTAGAGGTGTGTGGAGGTGTGCGGAGATAGGCGAGTGGGGGTGAATAGCAATGCGGAGATCTGTGTATTCATGTAGAAGAGAGGGTGAGTGGGTAGCGGGAATTGTCACGCGAGCCTTGATCGCCATGCGCACAGACACAGTGACACGCGCACACACAAATATACGCACGCGTACACACAAATATACACACGCGTACACACAAATATACACACGCGCACACACGCGTACACACAAATATACACACGCGTACACACAAATATACACACGCGCGTACACACAAATATACACACGCGTACACACAAATATACACACGCGCACACACGCGTACACACAAATATACACACGCGTACACACAAATATACACACGCGTACACACAAATATACACACGCGCACACACGCGTACACACAAATATACACACGCGCACACACGCGTACACACAAATATACACACGCGTACACACAAATATACACACGCGTACACACAAATATACACACGCGCACACACCCGTACACACGGACACACATAAACAACAACAACAACAAAGAAAGATGTCCCCCCCCCCCACCGTATAGCCTGTACAGACTGTTGGGGCAAGTGCTGTAAGCGAGCAGCACCTGTGAAGGCCGGAACGGCACACGAGGGGGTGGGTGGCCAGCACCACCCCCGGCCGCCTTTGTCTCCCCAGTGGCGATGTCTACACAGAGCACCTGATACCCATGTTGAGGATATAGTCGACCCAGGGGAGGCCCAGGACCGGTTCAGATAATCGTGTCCGGTGTTGGTGGCCGTGAGCGGGAATCGAACCTGGGTCGCCGGGTTCGTAGTGCAGAGCGCGACCAGCGATACCGCCGCTCCCCCACCAATACACACACACACGTGCACGTGCACGCACACACACACACACGCACACACACACACACACACGTACGTACGTACGCTCCCAACCGCGACCTCCTTTTCCCTAACTCCCCCCCCCGCCCACCCAACCCCATAGGCCGCAATGGGAACCTGAGCAGCCTGGTGCTGCGGCTGCTGCGCGAGGAGCCGCGCGTGCGGCTGCTGGACGAGCGTGACAGCGTGGTGACACGTGCAGCGGACGGCAGCGTGCGCGTGGCGCCCTGCCGCAACCCCGTACCCGACGCCTGTACGTGACCCCCGCACCACCGTGACCCCCGTGACCCCCGTGACCCTTGCACCACCGTGACCACCGTGACCCCCGTGACCCCCGCACCACCGTGACCCCCGTGACCCCTTGCACCACCGTGACCCCTTGCACCACCGTGACCCCCGTGACCCCTTGCACCACCGTGACCCCCACACCACTGTGACCCCCGTGACCCCCCGCACCACCGTGACCCCCGTGACCCCGCACCACCGTGACCCCCGTGACCCCCGCACCACCGTGACCCCTACATCACCGTGACCCCTGCATCACCGTGACCACCACGCCATCGTAACCACCTTGACCCCTTCCAACCTCCGTGACCCCCGTGACCCCCCCCCCCCCCCTCGCCTCCGTGACCCCCTTGCCGCCATGACACCCGTGCCACCTTGCCGCTCCTGCCACCATCACCCCCCCGCCCTACGCTGGTTAATGCTGTGGCGGGTGTTGGCACCGCCACCACCGGCACGCACGCGCTACGGTCACGTGCTCTGAAGCAGGGCCCATTGCCTGAAACGTCGCGATGCACAATCTTCCCGCCTCCGTGCCAGCTGCCCACCCCCCCGCCCCTTCCCAAACCGCGTGGGGTATACACGATCTGGAATTTGAGTTGGCCTGAGCATCCCAGTACAGGATGGCAGAGCTCAGGCAATTATTTAGCTTCTCGGTGCCCTGCTCTCATAATGATCATGACGATGATGACGATAAGGACTATGGTGACTATGACGACGACGATGATGACGATGATGATGATGACTATGATGACTATGGCGACTATGACGACGATGATGACTGACCACTATGACGACGATTATGATGACTATGGTGACTATGACGTGAATGATGACTATGGTGACGACGACGACGACGATGATGATGACAATCGTCTGATCTGTCCCTTGCCGCCCCTCCCGCCTCTCCACCCCAGTCTGCATGACGATCTTCCGCTTCAAGTCGACGGTTCCAGTGGACGCCGGAGAGCCGGTGGTGCTGGGCTTTTACAACTCCAACTGCTACCTGGCGTGCCAGGAGGGCACCACCAATCTCGTGAAGCTCATCGTGGAGGTGAGTGAGCCAGCCGCCCGCTCGCTCACTCGGCGAGGATCTCTTTCACCGGTGCCAAGAGAGCCACGCCTCGAGCCTCTCGATGGGTTCACACTCGCCCGTTCTCATCACCCGCACGCTCACTCACTCACTCTCATCACCCACACTCTCGCTCACTCACTCTCATCACCCACACTCTCACTCACTCACTCTCATCACCCGCACGCTCACTCACTCACTCTCATCACCCGCACTCTCGCTCACTCACTCTCATCACCCGCACACTCACTCGCTCACTCTCATCACCCACACTCTCACTCACTCGCTCACTCTCATCACCCGCACGCTCACTCGCTCTCTCATCACCTGCACGCTCACTCACTCTCTCACTCTCATCACCCGTACACTCACTCTCTCTCATCACCCGCACGCTCACTCACTCTCATCACCTGCACGCTCACTCACCCTCTCACTCTCATCACCCGCACGCTCACTCACTCACGCTCATCACCCGCACGCTCACTCACTCACTCTCATCACCCGCACTCTCGCTGACTCTCATCACCCGCACGCTCACTCACTCACTCTCATCACCCGCACTCTCGCTGACTCTCATCACCCGCACACTCACTCACTCTCATCACCTGCACACTCACTCGCTCGCTCACTCTCATCACCCGCACGCTCACTCACTCTCATCACCCGCACGCTCGCTCACTCTCATCACCCGCACGCTCGCTCACTCTCATCACCCGCACACTCACTCTCTCTCATCACCTGCACACTCACTCACTCTCATCACCCGCACACTCACTCACTCTCATCACCCGCACACTCACTCTCTCTCATCACCCGCACACTCACTCACTCTCATCACCCGCACGCTCGCTCACTCTCATCACCCGCACGCTCGCTCACTCTCATCACCCGCACGCTCGCTCACTCTCATCACCCGCACACTCACTCACTCTCATCACCTGCACACTCACTCGCTCGCTCACTCTCATCACCCGCACGCTCACTCACTCTCATCACCCGCACGCTCGCTCACTTACTCTCATCACCCGCACGCTCACTCGCTCACTCTCATCACCCGCACGCTCGCTCACTCTCATCACCCGCACACTCGCTCACTCTCTCTCATCACCCGCACGCTCACTCACTCTCTCTCATCACCCGCACGCTCGCTCACTCTCATCACCCGCACGCTCAATCACTCACTCTCATCACCCGCACGCTCACTCTCATCACCCGCACGCTCACTCTCATCACCCGCACGCTCACTCACTCACTCTCATCACCCGCACGCTCACTCTCATCACCCGCACGCTCGCTCACTCTCATCACCCGCACGCTCACTCTCATCACCCGCACGCTCGCTCACTCTCATCACCCGCACGCTCACTCACTCTCATCACCCACACACTCGCTCACTCTCATCACCCGCACTCTCACTCGCTCACTCACTCTCATCACCCGTACTCTCACTCACTCACTCTCATCACCCGCACGCTCACTCACTCACTCTCATTACCTGCATGCTCACTCACTCACTCTCATCACCCGCACGCTCACTCAGTCACTTTCATCACTCACTCACTCATCATTTGCGCTACCACTCACCCAGTAAACTCGGCCTGGTCACCAGTGACTCGCACGGAGACATCTCTACTCACATATAGACCCACAGACTCGCAGCGAGGCCCGTAGACTCACACTGAGACTTATAAACTCGCATAGAGACCCACAGACTACAGAGAGACCCGTAGTCTCGCACTGAAACTTATATGCTCACATAGAGACCCACAGACTCGCAGAGAGACCCATAGACTCGCACTGAGATTTATATACTCACATAGAGACCCACAGACTCGCAGAGAGACCCGTAGACTCGCACTGAGATTTATATACTCACATAGAGACCCACAGACTGCAGAGAGACCCATAGACTCGCACTGAGATTTATATACTCACAGAGACCCACAGACTCGCAGAGAGACCCATAGACTCGCACTGAGATTTATATACTCACATAGAGACCCACAGACTCGCAGAGAGACCCCGTAGACCCACACTGAGATTTATATACTCACATAGAGACCCACAGACTGCAGAGAGACCCATAGACTCGCACTGAGATTTATATACTCACATAGAGACCCACAGACTGCAGAGAGACCCATAGACTCGCACTGAGATTTATATACTCACATAGAGACCCACAGACTGCAGAGAGACCCATAGACTCGCACTGAGATTTATATACTCACATAGAGACCCACAGACTCGCAGCGAGGCCCGTAGACCCACACTGAGATTTATATACTCACATAGAGACCCACAGACTACAGAGAGACCCGTAGACTCGCACTGAGATTTATATACTCACATAGAGACCCACAGACTCGCAGAGAGACCCGTAGACTCGCACTGAGATTTATATACTCACATAGAGACCCACTGACTCGCAGAGAGACCCATAGACTCGCACTGAGATTTATATACTCACATAGAGACCCACAGACTCGCAGAGAGACCCATAGACTCGCACTGAGATTTATATACTCACATAGAGACCCACAGACTCGCAGAGAGACCCTAGACTCACACTGAGATTTATAAACTCACATAGAGACCCACAGACTTGCAGAGAGACCCATAGACTCGCACTGAGACTTATATACTCACATAGAGACCCACAGACTTGCATAGAGACCCGTAGACTCGCACTGAGATTTATATACTCACATAGAGACCCACAGACTCGCAGAGAGACCCATAGACTCGCACTGAGATTTATATACTCACATAGAGACCCACAGACTCGCAGAGAGCCCCATAGACTCGCACTGAGATTTATATACTCACATAGAGACCCACAGACTCGCAGAGAGACCCTAGACTCACACTGAGATTTATAAACTCACATAGAGACCCACAGACTTGCAGAGAGACCCATAGACTCGCACTGAGACTTATATACTCACATAGAGAGCCACAGACTTGCAGAGAGACCCGTAGACTCACACTGAGATTTATAAACTCACATAGAGACCCACAGACTCGCAGAGAGCCCCATAGACCCACACTGAGATTTATATACTCACATAGAGACCCACAGACTCGCAGAGAGACCCTAGACTCACACTGAGATTTATATACTCACATAGAGACCCACAGACTTGCAGAGAGACCCATAGACCCACACTGAGATTTATAAACTCACATAGGGACCAGCAGACTTGCAGAGAGACTCATAGACTCGCACTGAGATTTATATACTCGCATAGAGACCCACAGACTTGCAGAGAGACCCATAGACTCGCACTGAGATTTATAAACTCACATAGAGACCCACAGACTTGCAGAGAGACCCATAGACTCGCACTGAGATTTATATACTCACATAGAGACCCACAGACTCGCAGAGAGACCCATAGACTCGCACTGAGATTTATAAACTCACATAGGGACCCACAGACTCGCAGAGAGACCCATAGACTCGCAGAGAGACCCATAGACTCGCACTGAGATTTATATACTCACATAGAGACCCACAGACTTGCAGAGAGACCCATAGACTCGCACTGAGATTTATATACTCATATAGAGACCCACAGACTCGCAGAGAGACCCATAGACTCGCACTGAGATTTATAAACTCACATAGGGACCAGCAGACTCGCAACAAGGCCGGTAGACTCGCACAGACACCCAGAGCCCGCAGAGCGACTCGTTAAACTCCCTCATTATGATCACTCGCTGCCTTCTTTATGCCCCACCCCCCTCCCTCGTCCTAGACTCACAGCAGGGACGAGTTCAGGAACATCACCAAGAGCAGCGGCCTCTTCCACCTCATCTTCTATCGCAAGGAGTTCCCCGACGGGACCATGAGGTTCGAGTCGGCTCAGTTCCCCTCCTGGTTCGTCTACAGCGGAGAGCGCCAACTCGTCCAGATGCACAACCGATTGAACACCAGCTACTCGCTGCTCTCTTGACGGGCGACGACGTTGGGGCGACATTGGGGCGATTTTAGGGCAACGTTGGGCCGATATTGCATGTTTACCGGGATAGTGGGGGGACAAAGACGGCCGGGTGTGGGGGGCTGGCCACCTTGCCCTGTCGTGCGTGCGCGTGCGTGCGCGCGAGTGTGTGAGCGCGAGTGAGCGTGTGTGAGCGTGTGTGAGCGCGAGTGAGCGTGTGTGTGCGTGAGCGTGTGGGGGAGCGCGGTGGTGTAGCGGTTAGCGCCCTGCTCTACGAACCCGCCGACCCGAGTTTGATTCCCGCTCGCGGCCACCAACACCGGCGGCGATGATCTGAACCGGCCCTGGGCCTCCCGTAGGTCGACTCGGCTTCAAATGAGTACCCGGTGCGGTGCGCTGTAAAAACACCGTCGCTGGGGAAGACAAAGGCGGCCTGGCGCTCGCTGCTCGCGAGCAGCACTTGCCCCCACGGTGTGTGTGGGCATGTCAGAAGGTATCCTATTTTAATATTTATACTGCTCCTCTGCTCGAGGCGCTTGGCAATGGCTTAACAAACCGGTGGCATGGAAAGGGATGATGCGGCTGGCAGGGTCGGTGCTACGAGGTATTGAGGAATGACTGATGGCAGCGATAGAGGGGTGCTCTGGGGGGGGGGGGGTCACGATAGAGGGGTACTTGGCGGTCACTCTAGGGGGGGTACTTGGGGGGGGTGGGTCACTCTAGGGGGGGTACTTGGGGGGGGTGGGTTACTCTAGGGGGGTACTTGGGGGGGGGGGTGGGTTACTCTAGGGGGGGTACTTGGGGGGGTGGGTCACTCTAGAGGGGGTACTTGGGGATCACGAAAGGGGCGGGGGAGGGGCCGGGAAGGAGTGGAGGGGCGGGGGAGGGATGAGAATGGGCAATGGAAATGAGGCACGTGTGTGTGTGTGTGTTCATGTGTTGGAACACGTGTGTGTGTGTGTGTTCATGTGTTGGAACACATGTGTGTGTGTGTTCATGTGTTGGAACACGTGTGTGTGTGTGTGTCCATGTGTTGGAACACGTGTGTGTGTGTGTGTAGGTAGGGACACGTGTGTGTGTGTGTGTGGTACTTTTTTAAACGGAAAACAATGTCGGGTTTCACGGTTATAACATGTGCTGTCATTGTTGGTACAGTGTGTATATGTGTGGTGTTTATTAAATAATTAAATATTTCGCGACTTCCTCGTGTTGCCCGCACAGAGTGCTATTGGCGAGTCGTACCTAACAGGAGTGTCTATACAGTAGTGCCTATACAGGTCCCAGAGTAGTGCCTATACAGGAGTGTCTATACAGGTCCCAGAGTAGTGTCTATACAGGTCTCAGAGTAGTGCCTATACAGGAGTGTCTATACAGGTCCCAGAGTAGTATCTATACAGGTCCCAGAGTAGTGTCTATACAGGTCTCAGAGTAGTGCCTATACAGGTCCCAGAGTAGTGTCTATACAGGTCTCAGAGTAGTGTCTATACAGGAATGTCTATACAGGTCCCAGAGTAGTGCCTATACAGGAGTGTCTATACAGGTCCCAGAGTAGTGCCTATACAGGTCTCAGAGTAGTGCCTATACAGAAATGTCTATACAGGTCCCAGAGTAGTGCCTATACAGGAGTACCTATACAGGTCCCAGAGTAGTGCCTATACAGGAGTACCTATACAGGTCCCAGAGTAGTGTCTATACAGGTCCCAGAGTAGTGCCTATACAGGAGTACCTATACAGGTCCCAGAGTAGTGTCTATATAGGTCCCAGAGTAGTGCCTATACAGGAGTACCTATACAGGTCCCAGAGTAGTGCCTACAGGAGTACCTATACAGGTCCCAGAGTAGTGTCTATACAGGTCTCAGAGTAGTGCCTATACAGGTCTCAGAGTAGTGCCTATACAGATCCCAGAGAAGTGTCTATAGAGGTCCCAGAGTAGTGTCTATACAGGTCCCAGAGTAGTGTCTATACAGGAGTGCCTATACAGGTCCCAGAGTAGTGTCTATACAGTCCCAGAGTAGTGTCTATACAGGTCCCAGAGTAGTGCCTATACAGGAGTACCTATACAGGTCTCAGAGTAGTGCCTATTCAGGACCCAGAGTAGTGCCTATACAGGTCTCAGAGTAGTGTCTATACAGGAGTACCTATACAGGTCCCAGAGTAGTGTCTATACAGGAGTACCTATACAGGTCCCAGAGTAGTGCCTATACAGGAGTGTCTATACAGGTCTCAGAGTAGTGCCTATACAGGAGTACCTATACAGGTCCCAGAGTAGTGCCTATACAGGAGTACCTATACAGGTCCCAGAGTAGTGTCTATACAGGTCCCAGAGTAGTGCCTATACAGGAGTACCTATACAGGTCCCAGAGTAGTGTCTATACAGGAGTACCTATACAGGTCCCAGAGTAGTGCCTATACAGGAGTGTCTATACAGGTCTCAGAGTAGTGCCTATACAGGAGTACCTATACAGGTCCCAGAGTAGTGCCTATACAGGAGTACCTATACAGGTCCCAGAGTAGTGTCTATACAGGTCCCAGAGTAGTGCCTATACAGGAGTACCTATACAGGTCCCAGAGTAGTGTCTATATAGGTCCCAGAGTAGTGCCTATACAGGAGTGTCTATACAGGTCCCAGAGTAGTGTCTATACATGACTGTCTATACAGGTGTAGTGTCAACGAATGGGGGACAGAGTTTCTAGGAGTATATAAGTCTCTTCTTTATTAACCACAACTTCCACGGTCTGGTGCACACACTGCACAGTAGCTCAGCCCAGCCTGTATACAACACGAGCCGTCTCACACCGACGGCGCTGACTGAGATAGCCAACTATTCTCCTTCGTAGCGCAGTGTCTCGCAGAGACGGCGGAGACGGCGAGATGAGTTCATTCCCAGAACCGGCAGCCTGGAGCCCCCCGCCCTCGGCTCCTTTTATGCTCCCAGCGCCGCCTGGCTCCGCCCTGACCGCATCTCCCTTCTTGAACCCACTAGCAGGTTCCAGGGGCCTCCAGATGCGGTCTTCCGTGACCCTTGCCCCAGTCCCGCCGCTCTACCAACACGCCGTGCACATGCTCACCGGCGTGTGTCCTGTCTGTCCAACACAGTTGCCGCTGCTGTCCACCAGACGGCGCTATTACACTACTTAGGTACCAGAGTAGCGCTTTTACTGGTGTCACTTCTGTGATGCTAATAGTAGGAGGCAACACACGTTTATTCTACACCGTTGGACACTGTTCACGCACGGGATAACTATAACCGGGTGAGAATAGCCGGCACGCTGTCTGACCCACGACGCCGGAGATGAAGGTGTAGCACCTTGGGTTCCATTCCACAGCCTCGGGACTTCCCTTTTATGCCCCCCCCCCCCCCAGCGTGGCCTGGCTCCGCCCTCGGCCAAGCCTCCTTCTGGAACCTACCAGAAGGTTATGGGCCACCTTCCACGTGTCCCCTGCCTGGCTCCGCCTTTGGCTACGCCCCCTCTGGAACCCACCAGAAGGTTCTGGGCTATACCTCACGCGTCCCCTCGGTCACCTTTGCCCCACATCCTTTACCCCGGCTTTATCACGTGCTCCGCCAGGCGGCCGGAGTGCCACGTCCTCATATGCCCCCTTCTGCCAGCCGCCGGCGTCACGCACCCTCGTGACCCCCTCGGTGGCATTTCTTTGCTGTCACGCCCACATCTCTCTGTCAGTAGCCAGCGCTACGCGCCGTAGCGACCCATTCTATGTCACCACACAGCAGTGGCTGGCAGTGTATTTTACACCTCGGCCTTCAGTACCATCCTCCTGCCATTAAACCGCCTTCTAATAACCTCACCATGACACTAGGGCTATAGGCTAATTGTCATTTGACGTAACCACCCCATATTCAGTGACGGTAACCTTTATCGAGTGGAATAAAGTGATTTAACACTAACCCTAATATAGATATCGTAACCAATACCACTAACACACTACCCCAAACCCTATGACCACTCTCCCTAATCATAACCACTACCCCGAACCTACACCCCCTAACCAATACCCATATCCCACTATCCCTAACCCTGACCACTCTCCCTAATCATAATCACTACCCCGAACCTACACCCCCTAACCAATACCCATAACCCACTATCCCTAACCCTGACCACTCCCCCTAATCATAACCACTACCCCTAACCTACACCCCCTAACCAATACCCATAACCCACTATCCCTAACCCTGACCACTCCCCCTAATCATAATCACTACCCCGAACCTACACCCCCTAACCAATACCCATAACCCACTATCCATAACCCTGACCACTCCCCCTAATCATAACCACTACCCCGAACCACTCCCCCAAATCCTAACTACTACCCGTAACCACTACTCCTTACCTTAATCTCAACCCCCCAGACCACTTGTCCCTAGCCAATGCCCCTAACCTCACACCACCTAAACCCTAACCCCTTAACTCTGACCTCAACCCCATGACCCCTAACCCCAAGCTCGGTTCACCGTCATCTCGGGTTGCTTGTGACGCGTTTCCTGGTTGTTCCGGCACGGTGTACGACGTTCCGTGCTACGTGTTGGGAGCTCTCCGCTTCTGGTAGAAGCTCTCCCAGCACGTGGCGCGAAACGTCAGACATCGTGCCTAAAAATCAACACACACACACAGCCGGCCAGGATATCCGCGAACAGCAATCCGCAGGGCAGTACTGAACAACTTTGACAAAAGAGCTTCATGGCCCTTCAGATTCCTCCAGGAGAAATAAAGATTCTGTGCGAGAGAGAGAGGGGAGAGCGAGAGAGAGCCACTGAGAGTCAACTATCTCGCTCGCGCTCTCTCTCTCTCTCTACCACTAGAGGGCAGTGGCGTTCTGCGTACGGGCGAGAGAGGAGAGCGGGGTGAGAGCGGAGAGAGTGGCGGGAGAGTGAGGAGGAGGAGGAGTGGAGAGTAAAATGGGGATGCCGAGGGGAAGAGAGGCATGGGAGGAGAGAGAGGGGAGCGAGTGTGGAGGTTAGGGGTGAGAAATGGGCGAGAGAAAGTGGCGCAGAGTGAGAGAGTGGGAGAGCGACGCCGTGGAGAGAAGGGAGATGGAGAGAGAGAGAGGGAGAGAGTTACTGAGAGTAGTGGGTTAGGTGTAGAGAGGGTGGTGGTGGGTTAGGGGTACAGAGGGTGGTGGTGGGTTAGGGGTAGGGGTAGAGAGGGTGGTGGTGGGTTAGGGGTAGAGAGGGTGGTGGTGGGTTAGGGGTAGAGAGGGTGGTGGTGGTGG